TGAAAGAAATAATCTCCCCCAGCAGTCAGGTCTTTCAGCACATTATCTCATTTACAAACATCTCTCTCCTAAAGATATCCCATTAGAACATTCTGAGGCTTCTATCTGGCTAACTTGTCTTCTTGCTTTCTAAGAATACACCAAAGAAGAATACATCAAAGAAGCACATGGGAGTAGTTATAACAGATTAATTTGCATCCACCATTAAAAACCTAAATGCAGTATATTTAAAGGACCATGTACAAACAAAGGCAATATGAGACAGAGAAGTGCCCCAGGCATCAAAACAACTGGAAATTTGTCCTACTCTGCTAAAGAAACCCACTACTGAGAGATAGATTATCCTATCCATCTGGATAGATTATCCCATATAGCCAATGTTGCTATTATGTGAATCCAGCTCAGTATAACATTCCTAAATACAGAGAAGTTTGCCTTGGGATAACCAACTCCTTGCTCAGGGACTTGTATATGAAGCTCTAACACAGCCCATTAAATCAGGTGGTTCAGAGGCATTTCACAATTCTGACTTCTAGAACAAGCATAGATAATTAAAAAGGCTGACAGACCCCATTATTTTTACACTCAAGTGCATCACATTGAATTAACAGACAAAGGCCACATGATGTGTGACATTTTTTTTTCCACTGATAATCATTTATGTGGTGCCACTTTTGCTACCATATTCTTCTTGTCCATGGGCTAGACTCCAATATACAGTCACTAAGCAGTCATTCAATCAGCTCTCAGTATTTTATTTGTTTTTCTCTAACTGGGAAAGCTATTTTGAGACATTCTCACTGATGGTAATGTGATATGGTGGGAAAGAAGCTTAAATGTAAATACGATATTAGTAGAAAGAGAGAAAAAATATATAACTGATATTACTTGAGTCTAGGGTTGTCCAATGTATTGAGAAAAAAATATGACCTTGAATTTTTTTTTTGTAGCCACACAGGTCAGACACTGCTGTTTAATGACTAAAACCCATCACACATATCTCAAGACAAGAGTCTAGGATACACACACATGATTACACATAATTTCCCATAAGGGTGGACATTTGCAGTGTTCAAATCTACAGACACTGAAGGAGCTAGAAAGTTCCATTTAGTGGTTGGTCACTAAAAGCCCATTGTCCTTGACTGACAGCTCTTTGGAGGAACTAAAGCCTTAGAAGAGAAGGCTGCCCTCACTGTAGACCCTTCCATCCATACCTGAGCCAAAGAAGGATACACCAAATGCATTTGGGGCAAATAGCAAGGAACTGTTTGCAGGGAACAAAGAAGTATAATCTGGTCCTATCTAAGTAAACTCCCTCCACAAACACCCTGCCTTGCCCCCAGGCCCTGTCTCTGGAGGGGACTAGCCCCCCCAGGCTTGGCCATTCCTGAAACCCTCATGGCAGTCATTCTAAAACAGAGAAGGTTAGACCTTCCTCCAGACCAGCTGGGCCAGCCTTTCTGAGATGGGTCTGTGAAGTCCACATCTCAGCCCTGGACTGGACAATGATTAGGTTCAGGAATCCTGAACAGTTTCCTTTGCCTCTTCTCACCCAAGAAGGGGGAGGGAGTGAGGTTACTGCTATTGTTGAGCTGAAAGTTTTTTTTGTTTGTTTTTTGTTTTTTTAAGCAATCCTGCAATGGGCTACTTCATCCAGGAATCTACAAAGCTAAGAAAACACATACACACACATGAACATACATGCACACACACACATACACAGGCCCTCAGAGCTCAAGGATCCACAAGTCCAGCAGGTTGTAGGAGCTAGGACCTGAAGACCATCAGCATCTGGAAGGGATACTAGGTTCCCAGGGACAGCCATGGCAGCTCTTTGCCCATAGAAGTGAGGAGGTGTAAGCTGCTAGTCACAGGCGGCTGTGCTGCTTCCCAGAAGACCTACAGGGCTATGGAGGCACAGGGAAATTGGGCCAGGGTGTAGGATACAGAGGTGATAGGTGCCAGCACCTTCCCAGGTAGACTACAGTGGGCACCATGTGGTCCAGGAAGAAGATGAGGAAGTTACATCCAGGCAATAAAAGGATCAGGCCCCAGGAAAGTGTAGATGAGGCCCAGAAAGACATAGATGGTTTCCATGTCAATCTGGTAGGCTCTGAGACAATGCTCCACGTAAGCGTCACTCCAGCAATACTGGAGGCCCATGTCTCAGGGCATCTTCAGGGCTGGCAAAAGCCTTCTTCTGCAGCCTCACTGGCCTGTGATAACTACCACCTTGTCCATCTTGATGACCAGCAGTGTGATGCAGAGAAGGAAGGCTGGGAGAGACTGTCCATTCACCGTTGCCAGGCTAGGGGAGGCATCATGGCCAGCTGGCGGGAGCTCCAACTTGGGACAGCATGACTATGGGTATGAACATCCCCAATATCACCTTGATTTTAAGGTCAGAAAAATAATTTTTTATGTTACCTTCATATTTTCATAAATGGTATTTTTGACCCTAATGAATATGGTCATAAAACACAACTATCCTTTGAGAAATAAAGGAAAATATTCCTACCTGATTTCTCTCTACTTTCTAATTATTTGATTTGCTGTTTTATAAATTCTCAATTTCATATATAGAAAAAATCACGCTTATAATGTCTACTATCAGTAATGTTATAATTAGTATAATTGTATATACATTGTGGTTTTCATTACTGAAATAATGATTGAAAAGTGACAGCTTAGATTAAGTAATTCATAAACATGAGATCTGACTGCAATACAATGAAACCTAGGGACAAACATACTAGAACCTGCATATGCAAATATTTGCTGCCATCACAAAATTGTTTTAGAAGGAGTCATAAAGCAAATGCTATTGGCATTTGGAATTTAAAGAGAGAATTTCAATTTATAAATGAATAAAAATTATCCTTACTTCATTGTTAAATGGTCTTTCCTTCCTTCAATATATTCTTCTTTCCATCTTTTTTTTTGACCCAAAATAGTATGTCCAGAAATTGACCATTTGATTAATTTACCATACATGACTCCAGATAAATCTGGAAATCTACCTTTAAATTTTTTGGAAATTCGCCATCAGTGAAATAGTCACCTACCACATGACTCACCTGTAATGCAACACCTTTACCTACAGAACTCAAAATAGAGAAGAGTATCATCCTTTAAACACTGTACATTAACTAGTGTGTAATACAAGTATTAATTCATTTCATGAGAGGACATTTCTGTGGCTACGTAGAAAAGGTATGTCCCAAATATGGTCTGTCTACATTACAACAAAAGAATTTAGTTTTGAAAATACCATCCAACTTTTTAGATTAATTAGCCCTCTATGTCTGCTACAAAGCTTTCACCTACAGATCCTATCTCCACCTTGAAAATTGTTCTCCCAAACCCCTAGAGCTCCACTTACTTATCCAGCTACCTTATACCTAATGACAAAGAAAATTAAATCCTAGATTTATCAATTACCTTATTTCAAAACACTCTATTCAGAAAAAAGAATAACATCCCACTATTATGTTGATATATTTGAAACAGCAAATTGAAATTTTCTGATGGTGTTGTGGGATCTTTGTGAGGTGGACTTTTTCCAAGACACCGCTCTAGGCTCTATGTCTTACTGATTAACTCTGTCATTTAATGCAGGCTGCAGGCTTCTCCCTGTCAGCTCAGGTTTGTGTGCAGATAAGTCATGTGCTTAAAGTGCACTGAAAACCACCCTAACAGATGTCCATAAAACTTAAGATATGGATGTCAATTTTAAAGCATCTCAGAGATGAAATCGTTCGCTGAGGCAGTCTTGAGGGCCTAGTAAGCAAACAAAAATGTCTTATGACTGTCACAGGCTGCCTGGGATACACAGAATTGACTTCCAAATTCTTTCAAACCTGTGAGTGGAGATATCCCTATGTAAAGAATTGACTTCACAAGAGGACAGAAACCACTTGACATAGTCATTCAAAAAGGGACACCTAAGAAGGCCACCAGTTGACCAACATTACCCTTATGGACTTAAGACACAATGGTGTCTTTAGCAAAAACTGCAGAGGATGACAGGAAAGGAACTGGGATATGAAGGTGCCTCAGGTGAGCCTCACATCCTCAAAGTCTTATGGGGACCTTCCATGACAGTAGACACAACTCTGTAGGTATGGATGTGAGCATCCTTTTCTCCCCAAATAACATTCTCTATTAATTTGAAGCAAGATTACTGATACAGATTACCTGATAACTCCTGTCTTATCATATCTAAGGTCTAATAAATTTGATGTGGTAGGAAAATTTGGTGAATCACATTATCCCCCAATTGGTACTTATTAACTTGTTGACATTCACTATCATTTTAGAATTCAAATATTATGTCCTGAAATGTTATAATTACTTGGAGACTATGTTTTATCTCCACATGCCTGGTGTAAGAAACTCTGGTCTCCAATTGCTATACCACCGATGGCATCCCATCCTGTCACCGCTTTTAGTCTAGTATCTAGACCCTTCTCTTTCTTCCCAACTTTGAATTTGTATTAACATATTTAATCAACTACTAGTCCTCCCTGTGGAGCATCAACCATATTTCCAAATGTTTCCTCATCCTGTTTTTGAGGAATCATTTCCAACTGGCTTCCAAAACTTCATATCCTGAATCAGATTTCAGATTACATCCATTTCCCTCTTTAACCTGCCTAAATTGCCTTTCTTCCCTCTTATGAAAACTTAATGAGGCCAGGCACGGTGGTGCATGCCTGTAATCCCAGCAGCTTTGTAGGCTGAGGCAGAAAGATTGCAAGTTCAAAGCCAGCCTCAGCAACAGTGAGATGCGAAGCAACTCAGTGAGACCCTGTCTCTAAATAAAAATACAAAATAGAGCTAGGGGTGTGTCAAGTGTCAGTGGTCAAGTGTCCTGAGTTCAATCCCTAGTACCAGAAAAAAAAAAAAAAAAAAAAACATCAAAACTTAATGATCCCTATTTATTTCTTCCATAAAGCATTCCATGGTTCTTCTAGCCCAATGTTTTTCAAACTTACTTTGCATCACTCTGGTATGTTGTTGAAATGCAGTTTCTGATTCAGGAGATCTGGATGGGACCTGAAATAAGCATGATACCCACGTTATTGGTCCTTAGATGCACTTTGAGTAACAAGATTCTAGCCTACCATAGTTTCTACTTCCTCTAAATCATCTAGGACAGGCACTATGCATGATTTATTCATGTTTATATCTTCAGTGATCCACAGAGTGCTTGACACATCAAAACACTCAACAAATGTTTGGTGGATAAATGATTAAATTAATAAATGTGTCACATTCACCCTGGCACTTAGAAAATTCTATTTAAAATAGAATATTTTTATATGTACTTTTTTCTTTAACTGAAATCTAGTTGAGGGCAGGTATCAAATTCTATACTTGTCTCTTTAAAGAGTTATATGTGTCCACTGTGTCCTCAGAAAACAGGCACTTGGTATAAATTCTGATTGAACAGTTACATAAAAGGGTTTATTGAATAAGTCACTGGAAGAGGAAGGGTATCATGTTTAGCTTACACATCAGGTACTAGAAGATAAGAGTCATTAACAAGCTGGCATACTTGTAGATAGAAAGCCCCAAGTCCTGCAAAGGCACACAGAGGGCAGAAATATTAAAATCAGTAACCAGGAAAATAGGCCTTTTGTAGACACAGGCGCACTCTAATGAGAAAAGTGCTTCAGTTCGTTGAAATGCCAAGCCAGTGGTTGATATGCTTGGGAATAAAACCAAGCATTATTACAGGGGTAGGCAGATGGCACATTTTTTTTTCTTAATTCAAAGCTTCACTTTTGTAAATAACAATGGAAATTGAACAACTGGCACATACCAAGTTTTGCAGACTATATTAAGAGTTTTCAAAAATGAATTTCCTCAAGAATTTCTGCCTTTGGAGTATTTGACTATATACTGATTTGCAGTATTATTTATTCAATATTTCACACCTGCATTATCTTCTCAACCAGACTATAGCCAGAGATAGGGACTTTGTCTATATGAGATGGTGGGCACATGGCGATGTTTTTTAAATAAGCATAATATTTAGAAGAACCTGGATGACCCACAATTACAGACATGGATCTGCTATTAAGCAGAGAAGGATGGCCAATAAAAAGGTGAGGTGTATAATGAGTGGATTCCCAGACTAAAGAGGGAAACTCCACATACAGTGGATATGTATTTGTATTTCATTCTCTCTTTCTCTTTCTTTTGCTATCTCTTTCTTTCTCATAACCATAACAGATAAACTAGCCTTGAATTCTGCCAATGACTGGATCATTGAAAATATCACGTCATGTAAATAGATGAAAACCATGGTGCCCCTGAAGCTTTCAGAATCACTTCATCAAACATTGACTTTGCTATCAGATTACAAGTAAGCCAGATGCAAATAATTTATCATTAGGGGAAATAAGCTATTATCTTCTGACTACATTGTATTTGTCAGAGAAGTAACGTATTGATTCTCAGAAAGACAGGTATATATATATATATATATATATATATATATATATATACACACACACACACACACATACATAACACATATATGGGTTCATACCTGTGTGGTTCAAAGTGAACCTATGATACATCTGGTTCATGTTTTAATCTATTACCTATTATATATTTACTTAGACAATTATACTTTGATTCTGTTCAAAAGAATGATTTTTGCAGGAACATAGGAGCTTCTTATGCACAAAGTATTTAAAATAGAACAAAATTAGCAATCTGTAACTGAAAATTATACATAACATTTAGCTTCATTTAAAATTAGAGCACTAGAAGCAGCAGATTTCCATGGCATTTTCATTATGCAGAGAGGTAAACAACAAATAAATAAGCCATACATGAATATGAAATTAACAGCGCGATAATTGCTTTACTCCTACAGTGTGTGTAATATTAAATCCTCAAATAAACACTTACTTAACCTCATTCTCACATATGCCTATTGCTTTTATCAAAAACAGTGTACCTGGAACACTCAAGCTAAGACAACTTCCAAAGGAGGCACAAAGTCTAAGGAAATCACTGCCATTTCCTGAAAATTCAGAGTGACTTCTTTACAAGTTTTAGTATTAGCAGTATGTCTTGAGAGCCAGGGGACACGAGAGGAAATCTGGAAACCAAGAAAACATGCATTTCACATGTGATCGTTTTGCACATTATATCATATTTAACTCCTCTGCTCATTCTTGAAGAGCCTCCTCATCTAGCTCCTCAGCACAGCCATTCCAGGGGACTGCTACCTTCCTACATAATTTCTGCTGACTTGTTTACCACGTTTATGCAGGAAACAAATTCCTGCTGAATTGTTCCTTTTCTGCAGAAGGCAGATATTCTTTTCGTATTTTTCTTATGGCTCCAAACAATGGCTACCTTCTTTCTGTTTTAGGCTCTGGGGCCCAAGTTTGCCCTGAATTTAACCCCAAGTAATGGTTTCTCTATCTTACTCACAGTCTGAAACTGACTCATTTATGAAGAGGCTGCCAGTATGACTGGAGTTTTCCAGTAGGTAAGGGTTCAAAGGTCAGTAATAATGTCATCTCCATCTTTAGGAGTACACCAATGGTAGAATTCAGTTATTTGGAGATAACCTGTCAAAACTGTATCATCATTTCCTGCTATATTCTCAACGGTAAGGTTTTAGAAGGGATGTACGATTTGTGTATGGGAGAAAACATCTTTCCTTGGAGGAGACATCAACCACTTCATCAGAAGTCAGTGACCACAGAATGGAATCATTCAATTAAAAAATTTTAAAATAGAAATAAAATAATTATGAGGTCCAAAGGAAGGAAAACTTCATCAACCCAAGTAAGCACCTTTAAAATTATCAAGTCTTATTGTCTTTCTGATGAAATTGCTATGTCTTTTTTGATCTCAACTTAAATTTGACTCAATGGGTAAATTTAAGCCTGAGGCTTTTATGCCATTATCAGAGGCTCTGTCAGTGAGTGCTTTAACCTAATTACATTTGATGCAGCAAATCAACAAAACCACTGCTGGTTATGACCTCTGCCAAGAGCACTAGTGAGCTAGACAAATGGAGCTTAAGATGTTATTAGTTGTTCTGTTGCAAAGTTCCAGATACAGCCCGACAGGAGGCTGCTGCCTGACTTGGGCGTGCACCCTCCAGATGGCATTCTGCATTGGCTTGTGGCAAAGCTCACAGGGATACTGGCACATTTTCTCCGTCAAAATGAAAGTTTTCCAATTACAAGGAGATAATGTGAGGAGATGCAAACTTAATCTCTTGAACAAAAGGTTGCAAGCTGTGTAATAGCCATTTCAGGGGAGAGATTTCACTATAGTTCAATTGATTTAAACGTTGCAGATCACAAAATGGGCTATCTTTCCTAATAAAACCAAGAAATCAGTTGCAGTTGATTCTATTTTCTGGGACAGTTTTGCAATGGGATGCTTCTTTTAACTTGGTTTTCTTCCACTGAACTGAAGTCAGTGATTATTTTTTCCTAAAGTGTGAACAGATACAAAGAAGCTATTTTCCTTTTAGTTAAAATAGAAAATGCCTTAAATGAAGACTTCGGGTGTAGTATTTGGATGTCAGAGCACAGAGTTTCATTAGGACATGTGAAATGGTAAGAAAGCCCTTTTACCATCAAAACTTGTAACACAATGTCACTAAAATGCTAGTACTCATTTTCTAACTCAGGAAATCCTAGTACAAATGAGGTGGACAGCTATCAATAGCTATGGAAATGAGGTGACTTGCCTCAACACTTCTCCCAAAATAACTGACTCATCAGAGCAAGACAGCAGGTATTTCATTGTAAGGTTACTTCTCAGGAAGCTATGCATTTGCCACTTGACATGAACATGTGACAAATCAGGAAAGCCACTGTATATCCATTTCTAAAAAGCCAACAGGGACACTGAGTAAGATGAGAATGTGTGCGTGCCAGCTCTGAGCAGAATGTTTTACAGAATAACTATAACCATAGCCCTTACTAAAATGCATAAAATAGCATTTTAGCAGAGTTTAAATGTGGAAATGATCTACAGTTCTAATATAAGCAAAGATCTTTCAATATTAGTACTAAGTGCCTTCCTTTTGTGATTTAAGGAAAATTAACTGATCCAAAATTTCTAGGCACAGATTCAGAATTTTAAGAGACACAATGTATAGTTCCAACAGTTAATTATGGTAATTCACATACAGAAAAAAAAATAATTCTACATCAAATTCCAAAACATTTAAAAAATGTATTAAAGCTGTTTAGATGAAGATCAATGTTGCAGATTTGTGCAAAACACTGAATTGCAGTTGATGGAGTAAAAACCAGAGATAACAGATGCCTTTTGTCGTTTCCATAGGAAGTAGCTAGGAAACTGTCCTTTCTTTACTGAAAATTCAGTCAGCTAAGTAAAGCAGGATTATAAATTCTAAGTAGTCACAACTGCAACATTGTAAGATCTGTAAATCCATCAGAAATATAAGCAAGCCCTTCAAATCACTCAGAAAACCTAACAGATTCCTACTGAAGACTTACCATTTTCAAGCAATGAACATTTTTAAAAAGTCTCAACATCAACATAAAGTGGTCTATAACAGCTGCTGTAAAGCTCAACATCAATTTTATGTTGGCTCAACTACTAAACAGCAATCACAATGACATCCCTTAGGAGGCATTTAAGGGCCCAAGCGAATAGCAATTTAAAAACTGAGCAGGAAATCAAAACTAATTCCTCCTCTGTTTACGAAAACACTTCTCCCTGTGTTCTTGTACCACCACCTAGTGGTTATATAGCTCTCAATCTGACCATCAGTAGAAACCAGATACAGAAGAGGGAAGGAAGAGAGGGAGGAAGAGGGAAGAACAGAAGGAAGAGAGAGAGAGAGAGAGAGAGAGAGAGAGAGAGAGAGAGAGAGAGAGAGAGAGGGGAGAGAGGGGGGGAGGGAGGGAGGGAGGGGAGAGAGAGAGAGAGAGAGGGAGGGATGGACAGAGGGGAAAATAAAACAAAACAAAAACACAAACAATTTCCAGGTCTTAAGACCTATGCAATAAAACTCAATACTATGTTATTGATTTTGAAACTAAACATTATTTAAAGTTATTTTGCTTTGTGCATTTACAAGGACATGGAGATTCTATAGTTGATACAAAAATACCTGTTTTAAAATTTGTGGTTGAATTTCTAGGGATTTATTCTACTCCGTAGAACCTATATATATATATATATATATATATATATATATATATGTTGCTAGTGTGTGAACTGATATGAGTACAAGATTCTACCATTATCTGAAATAGCTTCAATGTTATCAGTTGAGTTGCTTTCATAAGTTAGGGGACATCCATAAAATAAAGAATGAAGTCCATCTTCATATCTTGTTATG